CACACACACACACACACACATTTTTTTTCTTAAGTTTTCGCAGGTACTTACATGAATGGTATTCAGCTTTGTTTGGGTATTTTCCCACGTCATTATAGTTGTGCTTTTAAAGTTGTAGCAACGTTTCGGCAGAATCTCATCTGCCATCATCAGGCTTCTGTATTGTGTTCGTCTGTGACTCATGGTATGACTATATAATATGCTTGTCACAAATCAGACACTGTGGTAGCTATTGGATGAGACACTTAATCTAGACATTAATGCCTATTCTAACAATCAATGGTTCTTTATGCTTTTGGACAGATAATTTTCCTGTGTCTAGTAACATGATCCTTTAATTTTCATTGCAGGGGCATTTGGCACACAAAGTCATTCTCCCATGCCCTTTTACTTAAGGAAGACTCTTGTACAGGCAAAGCACACTGCTTTTTCCCTGGAGCTGGACCTCTAGAATAAGGACATACTACAGCAATACAATCCAAAGAGTTACCATGGTCTGCTATATCCTTCAGGATGTCATTAGCCAGCTGTTCAGCATGAGTGCCAGCATAGGGTCCTGTTTTATTGTCAATTAGCACAATCTGGATGATTGAGTCTAAGCCACGTGGCACAATTTTCAAGGGAGTCTGCAATTTTTTCCTCTTGGACATGGCCATCTGAATACCTTTATTCCTGGGCTTTGCAGAAGAAAAAGAGAAAGAAATGTGTCTATTTGAGCCAATCCAATGTGTTAAGCAACATTTCTAGAAATATTAAGAAATTTTTAATTTTAGGCTGGTAGGAACAATAACCAATTAACTGTCCTTTTTTGACTAGATAAACATTCATTCAAGTCTTTTCCTAACAGTAAGCACTGGAATATGTTTATCCAATAGTCCAGCTCTAATTTTCTGATTTAATATTATTTTTACTGGCATCCCAATAACCTTTACATTGATTGGTCATCAGATATGCTCTGGTTGTTTTGGAAAGCTATTTCCATTAAAAATAAAATTAAACTAAAAATGGAGTGGCCTGATCAAAATTACTCTCTGTAGGAGTTTCACAGGAAGAGTTAATCAATTGATAGATTAATGAACAGATTAATCCTTTTGTCCAATTCTACCTAACACAAAGAAGTATGTAACCCATGCAAAAACCAGCAATGATAGTTAAGTAGTTACGCTTTAACTGCAATTTGATAAATAGCCCAGGTTCAGATGAAAATCTAAATTTCACAATAATCTCATTTAGTATTTTAGCAGATACTTTGGCATAGATACCACAGTTATCCTCTAGATTACATCCTTCTTGGCTACAATGAATGTTGTATTAAGAGTTATATCTATAACTTATCTAAATAAACTATTCAGAATGATAACGGTATAACTGCTGTGCCAGCAGCACACTGACAAGATGATTTCGCTCTAGGGCAACAGTTTAATAATCTATATACATTCTACTTTTGGGAAAAACAAAAATGATAAAAGATTGCATTTTTCTTGCTTTCTCTCCTAAAGAAAAAAAGTGACCAGAGAAGAAACCACAAATACATGGCTCTCCAAAACCTTTTGTGCTCTTCTCTTTCAGCAAAGTACATACCTGCCTGCTAAAAGTCTCAGGTTCAATCTTGGGCAGCTTCTAAAATGTCTAGAATATTCTACCTGACTCTGAGGTTTCTTCCCCAAGCCCCCAAAATTTTAACCTTAGACTTTCTACTATTGACCTCACCCCTTTCCTAAGAGGTCTGTAGGGGGCGTGCATAAGTCTACCAACTTGCCTACTGTCCCTGTTCTATTGTGTCTTTTATTTTTCTTATATGTATCCATGTATTCATAACTATGTTTTTACTTATACCTATTATCTTGTAAGCAATTGACAAACCAAATAAAATAAATAAAAAATAAATACAGTGATCAAAGAGCTTCTAGTCCATCCACCTGAGTCCTTGAAGGGATGTTGTCTGCTTCATTTATCTGTCCACTAAAACTTGTCTTTCCAGGGGTGTCCACATGGTATAGTAAAAAAACAACAACAGTCAAGATAGCAGCCACAATGGAGCAACAAAAGTTCTGCCTATTTTTTTAAGGTGCAGTCAATTGCACCATCCTGGTCACCATCTTGGCTTTTTTGTTCATGGCTATTCTATATCAAATTATTGTTCTGTAATGGCAAATATTCCAGACTAGTTGATTGTCTTCATGCTCACTTCCATCATGTACAAGCTTAGAATACACATACCAGATTCAGAAAAGTATGGAATATTCTGTCTCGATAGAGTTCAATGTCAAAATCAGCAGAGTATGTTAAGGTAATGATGACCCCTGTAGTTAAAATACAGAATAAGACAATATAAAACATTCTACAATTGGATGATGGTCAGTCTGTGACTGTACCACTCTATACTGTACTAGTGAAGCCATACCTGTAATACTCTATCTGGTTCTGTGATGCTGAAACTCTTAGAAATGTAGGTAGGAGCAACAAACGATAAGATGTCTGGAGACTAAGCTGTACAATGAATGGTTAAGGGAATTGGCCATGTCTAGTCTAATAAAGAGAAGGATTAGGGGTGATAGGATAGCTTGAGGGGCATTCACACAGAAGGAGGGCTTGACTTCATCTCCAAAGCACTTGAGGGCAGGACAAGAAACAATGGGTGGAAACTTGTTAAAGAAGAGATAGGAACTAGGAAGACAGTGAAAGCAATTAATCAGTGGAATAGCTTGCTTCCCAAAATTGTGGAAGCTATAAGATGCCAGATGCTATCACTGTAGGGTTAAAATAAAGATTGACATTCATTTGTCTGGATGCCTTGGGCAGAGGGTTGGAATAGAAAACCTCCAAGGTCTCTTCCACCTCTATAATTCTATGAATAGAATCATTTGGGTCTTTTCCAATTCCAGCTATGTATGTCTACATCACACATGCCTGGGCAGCATTGAGAATAGAATAGAATAGGATAGGATAGGATAGGACTGGACAGGACAGGACAGGACAGGACAGAATAGAATTCTTTATTGGCCAAATGTGATTGGACACACAAGGAATTTGTCTTTGGTGCATATGCTCTCAGTGTGCATAAGAAAAAATAAAATGCATTCATCAAGAATCATAAGATACATCACTTAAGTGATACTCATAGGTTACTATAACCAATCAAATCATTCATAGGTTACTAATATGCAATCAAAACATACTAGGTTAAGGGGAGTTATCTTGGACAGTGCATAAAATATATAACGTTAATGTATATAAATAACAAACTTCTTTTATTTCTGTATATTTTTATATTTTTTTATAAAATCTTGTGCTGCTGTACTACCCGCTGTCCAGGGCTACATGTAACCTTGGGGTTGTGGGTTAGACATGCCTTGTCTATACTCATTCGTTCATCTGCGTCACATCTATTCTTCCATGGAAGTATGAATTGAAACTGTGATGAATCATTCTTGGTTTTTCTTACGCCAATTAGTTCTGCAAGTACAAGCTTGGAAGTGAAACCTCCTCTTTGGAATATTCTTCTCCACTATTGTGGAGATGTCTCTTAAATTGTTCAGACCTATAAATATGATTTATCTTTTCATCCAGATCTTCCCGGGGTGAATGGTATGCACAGATTTTTAAATAAATTTAAATCTACCGCAGGTAGAATATTTTCAGTGCCATAAAAATACACATTTTAATTTGTACTTGTTACTATGATAATTTTCTCTCAAGAAGCACTTGTAAGATGCCATATAAATGTAACAAATTTATTTGATTGTATTGGGTATTCTGAATCTTTTCCTGTGCAGCAAAAATGTTTTAGGCTGTTTCCCAAGAATATTTGAAAATTTTCTTCCAATATTAAATGGATTAGTCCATTTAACTCAGTTTCATAGATGAAATGACAATAATGAGGGCACTGATGGAATCATTTTACAGGATTTAGACTCATTATACTGTGTATGCAGTTGTATGAAGTTCTATTAATACCATGGAACATTTATTCCTGTTATGGTGTCTCTTTTTTCTCACATCCTCAGGTCACAATAAACCACTTTAAGATCATTACTAATTCTAAGTAATGTTCATCATTACATTTCTTCTAATAGGTTCTCTTGAAATGAGGTGCTGCTGTTCCTTAACTAAGCTTCTGAAATTCAATATATTTTGTTCTTCCTTCACCCCCACTTACTTCTCAACCCCCTTTCTTCTCTTTTTTCTTTTAAATATATACATACCATTTTAACTTTTATTTTGCGATTTCTTTTTTTTATAATTAATTGGACCACAAATGGAGTTAATCCAAACAATCTCTATCAGGGCTTTATATAAGTTAGCATGGCTTTGCTTATACTCATAGCATTTTATAAATTATTGTATTACTTTTATATTTTTTTAGTTATCTATCCTAGCCATTTATAGCATTAGATTATTCATCGTAAAGATTATTTTACTTTCAAATAGCTATATTCTGCAATTTTACATTAACAATTTTAACTTTATCTTATTTTATTTTATTCTACCCTACTGATATGACTGTTTATGTTTATTTCTATGTTATTGTTATATTATTAGTTTTATGCTGGCACATGACCAAAATAAAATAGATTGATATTTCTTCCATCTATCATTAATTATTCCAAATTCCAAATTCTGTGAAAGCAAAATCATTGTTTAAAATACCACAATCAAATAAAGTAGATCTAGTGAAAATGAGCCCATGGCCTTTTTTTTTAAACAGCTGGGCAGAGTACAATGGAGTTCCATACAGCAGTCCTGTCTTTATTCATGAGGCATTAAAACTGCATACCCATGAGTTTCATTTATACTTTGGATTTTCACTGGTTTAATGAGGAGTGTTCTCAGCATGCAGAAGAGGTGAGCAAAGGCTTTCCAGAAAATATGGTGTTAAATGCTTTAAAAACTTGTCTAAACAGTGCACGATGACTCCCTAAATGAGAGCTGTCAAACCCCCGGCCCACAGGCCAGATGTGTCACGTGCTGGCCATGCCCACACCCAGTTTAGTGAAGAGGGGAAGTCCCGATATGTCACATGATGCCACCATGACAATGTGAGTTTGACACCCTAAAGCATTCAGTTTTTGTAACAGTTTTTAAAAATGGCATGGAAAATTCCATATTTGGCAAATCTCACATGAATGAAATATAAAAGTAAACTCAGTCATCAACCTGTTTGACAGATATTTCACTATAAATTGCACTTAAATATTGGTTTGGTATTCTCCTTATGTATTGCTATTTCAAATTTGTATTCATATCCTACCGTTTGTCTGAAACATCAAGGTAGCTTACATGGGTATCTTAATTTTATCTTCTCTAACATCTCTGCCTGATAAGCTCTTTATTAATTTATAAGGAGATCCTGTCTTATGATCCATATTCTGGACTCAATACTAATGGGTTCTGGTTAAGTAGACTTGAATTAGGGATTGCCTAAAGAGCAAAGCTCCTATGGTCTCTGAAAGATTCTGAATGTTTTTTGTAGGTAATTGCACACATTTGACTATGCCTTCATGTTGTTTGGGCAGAGCTGTGTGAGGTGAGTTAGGGTAACGTCTATTAGTAGCAACATTATTGGAGAATCTTTTGAATCTGTAAAACCAAAAGAAATGGATAAAGTGAATTATAGTATGGGTACTGCTCCCTGGGGATGGCATGGATTTCTGCTCCACCTAGCATCTATAGTATGCATGGCTAAATTGGGGTGGGTGGGTGGGGAATATCTCTCTGAGGGAAAGTGAACCACATTCAAAAGAGAAATCACCTCTCAGTTAGCTTCCATCCTGTCTCCAACCTTCTCTTTTTAAAAAAGGTTATTGAGAGAACCTTAGTTAAGGATTCTAGAAAATGATTAATTCTCTTTTTTAGATGAAACACTGGTCTGGTCATGTGATAGACACAGAATTGGTTATTCTGGTGAATGACCATTTTTCCGGAACTGGATGGGGAAATGTATCCCTCTTTCCCTATTAGAACTTTCTAACAGTTTCTGATACTATTAACCATGTTATCCTTCTGAATTATGTCTGAGGACTGGGGACAAAAGGACATTGTTCTTCACTGGTTTTGCTCTTAAATGATGGGTCAAAGTCCACGTGGCTTTGCCCTGTCTCCCATGATCTTTAATAATTGACTGGACAAATTGTGACCCTATGGATGATCCTTTGAAAGATCCCCTCCTCAGTGCCTACAACAAGGACAGAACTTCACTGGAAAAGTTGGGATACATTCAGAGATGCATCTGTCTTGAAAACAGCTCATGTTAAGCTTATAGCCAAGTCAAACATCAGCACAGGAAATGTTTTATGATATTTTATATTATGTCATAAATTGCTTTATGATAATTTTGTGTCATAAAATGTTTTATACACTTTTTCAATTTTCAATCCCACAACAGTCGTGAATCCTGAATTTTGGAGACATTCTGAAAGTTAGCCCAATAGAGATTCTCTGCTT